GAGTAACTGGTCCTCCGCTTATTTATTCAGGGAAATAGCTGCGAGTTGAAATAACTTGCAATATCGAGTGCACACAAAGGAGAGGCTTGAGGAGGCCCACACAGATGTGCCAGGCTGTGGCGGGGGGATATGAGGCTTGAAGGAAGATATCTCACATGGAAACTGCTCAGCCCGGATGGAGGGGACAGATAGGAACTAACTAAAGTCATTGCAAAAGAGGCAGCTTTCTTAGTGGAAGCAATTTTTTTTTCTTTTCTTTATTTTTTTGAACTGGAGTCAATGGTGCTTTGTGAACATCCCACTGCGGGATGCTCCAAGCTTTTCACTCGGGATTAGTGAAGGAAATCAGTGCTCAATTCCCACACCAAAAGTCATAAATTCTATGGAGTATCTCCATGAGTAATTTGAAACTGAAATTCTTAAATTAAGCCCCAGGAAGAAACGCCAGTTGGAAAACGCTGGCGAGGGAGGTCAATGGTGTATTTGTGTCTGGAGGGTGCCAAAGGGTTGCACATACCTGCACCAACAAAGGCACTTTAGCCAAAAGCGGGTAGGAGGGGTTGGAAACGAGCCCGAGGGCCCGGATCCGGCTCTGCAGAGACACACGGGCTTGAAAACGCAACAGGCATCCAAGATACAGGAGCTGCTTCCAGGGCATATTTCCCACGTACGGGAACAGTTGCTTTCTCTTTCCAATGTGCAGCAATAGGAGGGCAGGAGGGCATTAAGACCACTATAAAGCCATGAATGAGGAATATTTCCGGTATTTCTATAAAGTTTTTCTAATTATTTCATTTATGGGATGCTGAGGCTGGGCAGCAGCTTTGGCAGTATCAGACACAGGGGTGCTTCTCCCACCACTATCTCTACAGCCTGGAGCACCCTTGCTGTTTTGGACATTAACTTACTGTTCCAGCCTATATATATGTACACTATCATCTCACACGATCCGTATGCCGTAAGACATGCATCCTGGGACAGAAGATGGCACCTGGTGGGACTGCCTATTTGGCTCATAGCCAGGAAGCTAACCCATAGCAGCCTCATGGCATTTATCTTAACTGTAGCACTCAGTCATACTTAATCACCTTTAGTACTTGAAAACTTCCCTAGCCAAGGAAAACAGAATTGGCAGCAGATAGCCAGGGCTGGCATCTAATGGTGCCACCTGCAAGGGAAGGATGCTCAGATGAGCAGGGACTTCTCCAGGGGAGCCCTGCAGGCCCAGACCTCCCTCCAGTTTGGAGCACGGACAGAAGCAGAAGTCTGGCCGTGCTGTTGCTCTTCAGTTGCTCTTCTTTCAGGCCTGAAAACAGGTCAAAAGTAGAAGGAAAAAGAAAGGAAAAAAAAAAGAAAAGAAAAGATCAAAACGTTCTGCAAGGAGGAGCATGCTGCAAGCGGCAGCCCCGCGTCTGAGCTCCCTCGGCCACAGGGCACCTTGCCACCAGGACACGGTTTTGGCAGCACAACCGGCTCATAGTTTTTCATTGAGCAGCCACACACCCGTCACTGGAAAGAGGACGAGGAGGAGGAGGGATGCGAGCAGCGATGCCAGGAGGTGACAAGGCCACTGCGGCTACGCCAGCCCCGTCCCTGGGATGAGCAGATTGGGTTAGTTCTCTCCACATTGCATCCTGGTTTTTGGAATGACCACACTTTTTACTTTCTACTAGATTTTACACCACAATTTAAACATATTAGTTTCAGAGCTGAGCTCACAGCTCAGTGCCGTAAAGGAGCTTGCAAATGTGAGATTTCACAGTGAAATATCAGCATGGAAACACTGCTTCCTTGCTAATACTTACCAGTGCTAGGTACCTGGATCATCCCAAAGCTCTCAAACATTACTAAAGTGAAAATGTAGCAGAGCTTTGCATGGATAGTGCTTTTTTTCTTTTCTATTTTTTTTATTACATTGCACTCAATTTGGAGCCAACAGGAGCCATAATTTGCAAGTTCCTCCTTGCAAAGTTCCTTCATCTTTGAGCAGGGCCTGCAGGAAGAGCAGCCCTGAAACTTTCCTAGGAGGAAAAACACTGCTGATTCCCTCCCCTGGTCCCTTGGGAAAAGCCCTTCCTAGAAATGGCAGTAGTTTCCTCCAACACTAAACTGGAGGCACATTTTCAGGTCTGCCTCAGCGCGAGGAGCCAAGCGCAGGGCGACGTCGCTGGTGGGATCCTTGAGCGGGGCCTGCCTGGTTGCCCGGTCGTGGGCACGCACCCAGCCTTGGAAATTTCCATTTTAATAAAAGCAGCCTCGGAGGAGCTTGGGCAATAACCTGTCTGCTCCTTGACGCCGACACTTCTCTTGTGCTCCAAAATGAGATTTTTATTCTTTTTCTTTTCTTTCTTTTCTTGCCACCTTAACGCAGCAATCTTGTTATCAGCCCTGGCTTACATCCATGTGTGTTATTAGAGGACATAGAAATAATTCCTCCAATGTTAAGTGACGTCTCGTTTCGGCCCGTATCGTGCTGGCGGGAGGAGAGTAAACCTGACCTGGGGTTAAGCCCCATAAACCGGCTGCGCTGCGGCGCGGATCTGCGCTCCGAAGGCGATTTGCAGCTCACAATTCCATTGCTCCCGCAAAGCCAGGGGTGCAGCCGGGTGCACGACACAGCAAGGGTGTCCCCACAAGGGTGTCCCCGCAAGGGTGTCCCCGGCAAGGGTGTTCCCAGCAAGGGTTAAGTGCTTGCACGTCCCAGCTTTGCACGGCCGGGGGTGGGATCGGGATGGACAGGAGCGCGCGGACGCGGGCGGCGCAGGGAGCGTCCGGCCAGGCACGGGCTCACCACGTGAGTACGGAGCGCCTTTAGCTGTGGGAGATTTTGGGAAGGTCTCCGGGAAGGGAGGCTCTGCAGCAGGCACGCTCGCACTCCTGCCTGCTTAGGAGCTCGTTTTGAGTAGTTTTGCAGTGCATTTAAACCAGGTTTAATTCGGATAACACGTAAACCAAGGGTGTCTCAAGCAATCGGCGCGTGAGCACAGAACTGAGCTCTGAAAGCACCAATTCTGCTCTTCCCAGGGCTGCATGATACTGCAGACTAGCACGGCAGGGGGGGTGCTCGGGCCAAGCTTATTTATCCCAAAGTTTGAATTGCCAAGCAAAAATACCCTCCTGAGCAGTGAAATAATTTTTTTTTCCTTCTGCTTTTTACTCACTTCAGAGTTAACTGGCTGCTGTTCAAGCAGAAAAATGAAATAAATGAGACAAATTTGAACAGCCAAAAATGTAATGAAATAAATGAGTCAGATTCCTTGAACTGCGCCTAACATGAAAATGAATTTCAGCTGTTCCTATTAGAGAAAGCCGAGCGCGGCGCACAGGCAGATTAAATCACAGGAAGTGGAAGGAGTTGCATAAAAAGCTCGATTAGCTAAATCTCCTCATATTAACCAATGTTTTTTGAAGATCAAAGGTGGTGAAATATTCTAAGGGCAAGTGACAAAGCCTCCTTATCCGCGTGCAGAGCAGCGTGCTGCGGGAGTGGAGGAATGGGTAAACATATACTGTAGCACTTGCTTTTCCGAACGCGTTATCTGTACGTCAGTCGTAAGGCCTCGGCACTGCTCAGCTCTAAACATATATATATATGTGTGTGTATGTATGTATATGTATATACACATGTATATATATCTTTTTCTGTGCATATGAGCTGCAAATGTCGTTGGGTGCACAAAAGCAGGTGCTGCGATGATCACTCGTGCAATACAGTTGCTTTAGCTGCAGTTAGTCCGTCCCCCTTGCTGGGGCGCAGGTGACATTGCCGCTCTTATCTAACGAAGCCAGGCTCGCTAAAGCAGCCGCACGCTCCCCGTGCTAGGCTGCTCCCAGGACGTCTCTCCACCTCTGCTGGCCGCTTTCTCCAGCCTTCTCCAAATGAATTTGGATTCATTTAGTGACTCTGAGGAAAGTGGAGGTGCAAGGAGGCCAAGGAGCACCTGAGGACGGGATATTCAGTAGAGGGATGACTACGTGCAAACCAGGAAGGAAAACGTGACCTTGATGCAACCACTGTTAGAGGGGAGGAAATGCGCTTGCAAAGTTGAGCCTGCTGCTATTTTGTGCCCCCACTCATGATTTGTGGACTAGAATAAGCTTTTAATATTAAGTGGCTCTGGGCTGGGAGGGACTGGAAGGGCTCTGAAGGACAGAAGATCCTCTGGAGGATCCTCCAAAGGATCAGGAAAAGATCAGAGGATCCCCTTCCCCAGTACCTTTCCTCTGTGTCATGGGATATGTACTTGCTAAAAAGAATTTTATTTTTTTCTACCAAAAATTGACTCAAACCTACAGTGAATGTCTGCAGCTGTGCCTTGGCTGCTGAAGCAGCTCTTCCTGATGAAAGTTGGCTGATATTTCCATGTCACGCGTTGCCTCTCCTGCTGTCTTTTCCCTAAGTGCAAACCAGGCTTAAAACTATTAAAACTACACCCGCTCCAGTCATTTGCGTGGCTTTTGTGAATTAACAGCTTTGCCCACGGGATTCATACCATTATCTGCAGGATTAAAAAAAAAAAAAAAGGGCAAAATAAAGAGTGCATTTGTAAGGGTTTTGCTGTTTTCACCCTGCCATCAGAACCCCCTTTAGGAACATGAAAAGGCTGAAAACCAGGGGTGACACCAGGAGGGGAGCACTGTGCTGCCTTCTCCTGCAGACCACGTCCCTCCACATCTCTCCATGTCCCTCCATGCTTTCAGGACATGGGGTGACTTCCTTTTGCTTAAGGACCATCTCAGGATCCTTTCCTGGATTTGCACAGAGCCCTGAGCCATCACAGTTAAAAGGATGACGTGCTGCTCCCTGCGGCTCCAGCCTCGGCATTGGCGTCTCTCAGGAGTTGTGCAACACTTTCTTGTGGGCACGTCATCTATGAGATGCTCGAAACCTTTAACCCTTCTCCGCCTGTTACTTGCTATTTCCTTGCCAGGGCTGACAGCGGCAAGAAGGGGAAAGCGGAGCAGCCCTCTTCTCCTGCGATCCCACCGCAGCGCCCACCATGAGGAGCCTGATTTCCAACCACAGCAGATACGTCCAGTCCTTCCGCCTCTTCCTCAAGAGCTCCACGGAGCACCAGTGCATACGGGAGTTCGTCGAGAAGCAGCTGCCTGGCCTCATCTCCAGGTAACAGCCCAGGAAAGCCAAACTCGGCTTGGTAGGCGGTGTGGACAGCGGGCGCCTGGGGCACTGTGGAGACAGCGGCAACTTTTCTCACAAAGTTTTGGAAAGTTTTGGAGGCAAATGAGGGGCCACGCTGCAGTGCATGTGGTTGAGTTCTGAATGTCTCCAAGGACGGAGGTGGTACAGCCTCACTGGGCTCCTGCTCAAGGGCTTGGCTGCCCTCGTGGTGAGGAATATTTTCCTTAAATCCAGTTGGATTTCCCTTGTGACAGCTTGTGGCCGTGGCTGCTTGTCTTTTGCTTGAGCGCTTGCTTTTCTCCTGACGCTGCCAAGGTGCCTTCCCCTGCTGCACTTTGCTCGCTGCCATCACCTCGGCTATAAGGACTAGCAATTCACCATGGTTTAAAGTTTAAACCAGGTCAAATGCAGCAATGCACACAACAAAGCAGCTCTGTATCTGTGCACGTGGAGATCCATGCACCGAGGAGATCAGTGAAAGCTGATCCCCTTGATGAGCTGCCCAAACCAAACCTGGGATCAGAGACCCCTGAAAAGCCGCGTTCTGCATCTACTCCTGCCTCCTGGCTCGTAGGCACAGACCTGCACCCGCATATACACAGGGCATTTGATTTTTGTCCCACTGGCCTTAATCTCCATAGAATCTCTGCTGCTTTGTGCAATGGCATGTAACCTTGTCCTAAAATTAATAAATAATATTTTGCAGTATCGGAAATGGGAAATCTACAATCAATATTCTAAGCATTGGTGGTGGTGCAGGTACGTTATGACCTTCACACTCGATACACTTTTATCTCTTTTCAAAGAGTAGAGGACTGCAAAGGAAAGGATTGGGGTGCCAGATGTACCTTTTCTGAAGAGTCAGCTCCAGTATTTCCTGAACAAGTAGAATTTCCTTCCAATCAGGGAAACCATTCTTCTGCTAGAAAAAAAAATATGTTGTTTTTAACAGGAACACTGAACTCTATGAGTGAGGTATTTAACTCTCTAAGCAGAGATGCTCCAGCTTAGAGTATTGGATCAACTTGGATTGGGTGTTGGATCAGTATAGTGACAAAACTCATTTTGCCATGGAAATAAGAAAAAAAAAAACCCACAACAGCTCCTCCTTGTCTTGGAGAACATGAAGGACCACACAGGTCCATCAGGTCTATCTGGAGCTGCTCCCAACCTTGGAGAGCCACAGCTCCAAGGACGTGGCGGGTGAGGAGGGCAAATTTTCCCCAAATTTTCGTGTTCAAGTTGAGAACCCTAAGCTTTTTGGGGGGCACAATAAGGCTCCCACCATGTGCTGAGTGGCAGAAATGAAGGACAGAGCCGCCTTCTCTCTCGTCCACCTCTTCTGCACTTTCTCCAGCAGCAGGAGCTAACCATCCACTGCCGCGTTCGTGTCCCATCACCCAGCCCGTGCAAGGAGGCTGCCTGCGCCGCCAGCCTGCGCCTGATTAACTTCACGCTCCGGCGCGCCGCTTTCTGCACCTTTAAAAAGCATTAAAGCCATCAACGCTGCTATAAAGTAGCAACTGTGCTATAAACTATCCCGTTACGTAAAATGTTTAATTAGAAACTTAATGGTGAACATAGTGGTAGCCTTTAAAAGGTAATTGTGTTGGAGAGTTTAAATAATTCCAATAGCCTAATTGCCAAATTGTTGATAATGCAAGCTGCCACGGATTTGACTGTAAAATGCCTCAGGACACTTGTTTGCATATAAAAGAGCTATCTGAAGTCAATTAAGGCTGTGGATTAAATTATGAATCAAAGTTTTATTTTTGTTTTTTTGGTTAAAAACAATAAAAGTGTGGTTTGGCCACAGGAGCGGGGAATGAAATATATTAATGTATCAGCATATGGAAGTGAATGGAAATTCAATTGTTTTTTTTTAATCGGGACATGCACTGCCTTTTCAAAGGAATAATCATTTTACAGAAAGTTGGTTAAAAAATAAAAGAAAAGAAAATGAAAAAGAAAATCAAAAATAGTGTAGTAGTTCATTAAAAATTCCATATTTCCAGATTCCACTATGGAAGCCTGTTCCATTTCCAATGAAACGCAAGACCTTAGTGATAGCAAAACCCCAGCTATTTATGTTACCTCAGAAATGCAGTTTCCCTTCCTTGAAAGAGCTTGCTTAGACAGCTGCTGTGAAAACTGTGGTCTAACCAGTGGCCTTCAGAAGGACACTTGAGTCTGAAGAGATCAGACTTGCCCTCACTATTCATGTTTCATGCTTAGGGCCTCTTGGCGCAGAGATGTTAGGAAGAGGAGATGCCCTTGGGCTTTCAAGCTGTGGTGGCCCAGGTAGGATCATAAGAAGGCAGAGACCTTGTTATATCAAACAGCACTTACACGATGGCTTTAGTCTCTAGTATGAGATCTAGAGTCTTTTAGGACACGAAATCTCCTTAAAGTGGAGATAACTCGGGCTAGTGGGAGTCCAGGTGCAGTGAGGATCATGAGGGGAAGAAGACGAGCCCAAACACCATAGTGATGTTTCCTCACCCCAGTGGGGTCCTCTAACCATCATCAACTCCTCATCCCTATTCACATACACGGAGTAAAAGTGAGCCTCAAGGAAGCTGGTGAAGCCTCACAGATATTGTCCATGGGCTGGTGGGCAAGAAGCATCATCTCCCCATGCTTTCTGACGGTAAGTGGAGAGAAACAGGTGGAAAATACTGTCTATTGTGAGGTATGTTATATATAAATATGAATTTAGATGGCCACGAATTGTATGTGTAACCCAAGAGATTAGGCCATGTCCAGAGAATATAAATTCACGGGGTAGCACTGACCATAGCTAGCTGATAACCAGAAAGGAGGAAGGAAGATTTCTGGGACGGATATTTATTTTCTCAAATGCTACAAATATAGCCTTAACAGAAGGGTCCAGGCAATCCAAGAATACAAACCATTTACAACTCCTTTGCCCTCATGATTCATTTGCTGTACGTAAGTGGTGGGCATTAGTCCTGGGACCTGCTGCTGGGGACCTGTGCACTCTTTGCTTTGCTCTTGTGCCTGATGTTGCCTTTTTTCTCCAGGTGAGATTGACCTGTTGATGCTCTCAAAAGTGCGAGCCAGGTACCCAGGAGTCACCATCAACAATGAGGTGATAGACCCAAATGCTGAGCAAATCTTCAGCTACAAAGGTATTTCTACGTCAGCTATGTTACATTTACATTGCATGTGTTAATCACATTGAAAAGAGTTGAATTCTGGATGGCCTCCCATTCAAAGACTTTCCTGTCTGAATTTGCTCTTAAAAGTTAAAAAGGTTCTTTGTATCTTATCCTTTTTTGCTGTCACTGCCTTCTGAGCAATATTCACATTCTCATTAAACTTGTAGTCCCTTACCCTGCAAAGACCTCAGCATGGGAACACTTGGGAGTAGGCAGATTTAATGTCCAAATGTGCAAGATATGGTTTGACTGCAAGCCTAGGCAGAGGAGTGTGTCTCATCATGTGCTGTCATGCCACTCTCAGTTGCTGTGTGGTTAGCTTTTGAAAGATAAGCAAGGTGGGACCCAGTGTGTGATTGTATGGTAATAAAGTAAAATCTCTGCACTGCAGAGAGAATTCTTCTCCTTTGGTTTGCCCTGAACCAGGATTCTGAAGCAACTTTAGGAAATTTGCAATTTTGGGGTTTCCCTTTCACTTAAGTATTTTAAAAATCTTTTCCGAATACTACATAAGTGACCCTCACTGTCACACTGAACAGTGCTTGTTAAGAAAATCATAGGATTTTCCAAGGAGCAGTGGAAGTCACCATTGGTGCCTTGGTCAAGTTGACTCACAAATTGAGCATTAAGTAATATCTATCTCAGTTAAATAATATCTATACCAGTTGAGTTTTTCCCAATGAAACCAAACTTCATTGGTTTATTATTGGTTTAACATGCATGTATAAATATATATATATACAACTTTTATAGAGGTGTCTGCTTGAGGAAAATGCCCTGTTGGTGCATTAGGCAGCTCAGGCACATTTATACACCTTTTCCATCTTGTCTGTGCTATATGGGCCTGTGTTTCTGCTGGCATCTCCCAGTGGATTGCCCATTTGGTGAGGTTTTTTTTTTTGATTTCCCAGTGGATTGCCCATTTGGTGAGTTTTTTTTTCCCAGTAGAAAGTTAGAGGAAGTGTAAAATGTGGTCCTTATTCAAAGTTTTATGCTAAAATAAAGATGAAATATTCATCTAAATTTCCTTCTTTAAACTTTCTTATTTGGTAATTAATCATGTCCCCAGTAGGTATCATTAATTAGGTTTCTGAGCTCCAAGATTTCCCTGGGAGAATTGGAAATATTATCTCTGCCTCTGAGGACTCAGTAGTTACATTTTCTGCCCAACCAGCTATTTTCTCCTTGGAAGGGGTAAGCCAAGCTTACGAGTAAAGCGTTTTGTTTTTCTGGGATTTTGCTGTGATGATGATCAGAGCTTTCTCTTAGGATGTCTCATATGAAAGCCTCTCCTCAAATATGTCCTGTGCCCAAGCTATGAATTTCTCTGAATCCTGGTCACCTTGATGGCCATGGCTTGCATTTCAGCTCTGCAGCTGATGCATGACACAACTCAATTGCCTTTGGTCAAATTGTACCGCAAACCAAGGCCGCAAGAAAAGCTTTTGTCCCAGGCAAAAAGTCTGCTGGGAAGTGAGAAGAAAATTAAGGAGAACTTTTCTTGAAGTGAGATGTTTTGGGTTCTGACGACTCTTTGGGCAGCAGCTTCCCACAGCTGCGATGAGTCTGCCCTTCTGAAATTTCAGCTTCAAAAGCCCACACTGGTGAGCAATTCGGTTCTCCTCCTGGCGTCTCTTTGCAGACTGTTTAGCAATTAGATGAAACCAGATTGCACCAGATTATTTGTGGCAATGATATGATCTGCTGGTGAATGAAGCTGGAGTTTAAAATAGCAATTAAATCTGAACTGCAAGCACAGGGGCCGGCGACTGATAAATGGAAGTGAACAGAGTAACAGCAGCAGCAGCCAGAAGTGGTAGCCCATTTCCAGCTGCTAAAGAAAGGAGATAAGTTCTGAGGGGCTATTCCTCATCTATCCTGCAGGGATATATCATAATCAGAGCCTAAGCAGAGGAAACATTTTGATTAGTGATATAAAAGCACTGTTCTCAGCAAACCACGTTCTGAACATGTGTTCGGTAGCTAAGGCTCAGTCTGCCTTTGGGCCATTTAAGTTTTAAATTTATGTAACTCCACTGAAGCAAAAGAATCACATCAGGGCTAGCTCTGTCCTGGAGCAATCCTGAGCGGAGAGCAAGAGTGCGTTGAGAGGAGCTCCATATGCCAGCAGATGGACATTAGCATGCCAGCATCCCCTTAAATAAGAAACTATCCCTCACTTTCACTCCCATAAAAGCAAAGAACTGCAGTGATGAATTAGGACCCTCAGTTTAGCTGATTCTTGAAATCCTCTTCTCCATCTTTCCGTTTCCTTGCGCTCAGTCACTGGATGTGCCTTGTGCTGATGTCTGAACACATGCCGTGTCCCCTGCTCTGTAACAGCCTTCAGTCTGTTCACACTATTATCCCTTTTACCTGAAGTGGTTGGCCAAAACTGCAGAGATTTGAAGAATCTCACTTGATTGAGCACAGTAGGAACCAATGTCAAGGGATAGGGTCTGGACTCACCATGTGAAGCTTCTCTTCTCCAGCTTCCCAAGGACAAGTTATTTGCTCTTTCTGCCCTTCTCTGGTTTCTGAACATGCTTCTCTCCAAAACAGCCCTGCTGGCCCACGCTGCAGCTCTCGTATTTATTCTGTCCATCTACGGGAATCCCATTGCCGTGGCTGAGCTGGATTTTGCACAGCGGCCTGTGTTGCTTTGGCAAGTCCTAGGCAAAGAGGCCATCAACCTCTTCTGCCACTTAGCATGAGATGAGCCTCTCGTGGTCTCATTAGTGTTTATCATGGTCCACATGTTTCTGTGCAGCTTGAGCCAGCCACAGAGAAGCATTTACTTTCCTTTCCTTTTTTAAGGTGGCAAGGACTGAAGAAGCCTGAGTAAGGGCAGAAATGGGGACATCAGCCTGCCACCCAGCTGAGGCCTGCTACCAGCTGGTCCTTGTGCACCCAGCTGCAGAATGCCACCCCCTCTGGTCACCTCTGCAGCTTTTATGGGAACACACCATTGACTCCACCAGCTTTTTAATAATCCCCTTGCGAGATAATCAGCTGGGTTCATTTGCAATGATGTGGCTTACATGGTAGCCCCGGGAAGAACGAGGCCATCGGGTACCAGAGAGTGGTAGGAAACCCTTAGACCACCATCACTACCACAGCCTTTCTTCTAGGAAACTGCAACCAGGATCCAAGCACATGTGCAACTGGAGGCTGTTTGGCCATGGATCTTACAGTCTGCTGCTGCAATAAGCTAGGCCTTGGGCTCAGATACCTGATCATGCAAAGGAATCAGGGAATTTTACACTCACTGTCAAACTCAAATCCTGATGTAAGCATCATCAAACCATTTTAAGTCTTCATCCTGCAATGATCTGGATAGCCCCTGAAATATAGGCTCAGTATTTTAAATATTCCATGACTGCATTGAAATGCTACCAAAACTTCCTACTTAAATGTAACTTTTGGATGTACTGCAATTCTGAATAGAAACTGATCCCATATTTGCAATTGAGATAACTGTGCACTGTCTTCTCCCATATTTTAGAGCGTGTAGCAAAGACATCAAACCTCGAGAACATAAAGTTTACCTGGCACAAGGAGACAGCTCATGAATATGAAAGTCGAATGAATGCAGAAAAATCTTCTAAAAAATGGGACTTCATTCATATGATTCAGGTAAAATTCTCTGTAAATGTTCTCAAAGATCTGCCTCTTAAAAGTATGCATGAAGTAGGTGACCTCATTATCCACTTCCAGGAGAAGAAAGGTGAGTTTATTTCCCTGTAATTTAAAGCACTTAAGCACAAGTGAAGTGCAAAAATGAAAGATGAGTTCCTGCAAAGCAGCATTGAGCACAGTAGTCCTATTAACCAGGCTGTGGGTGGCAGTCAACTAAAAATCCATTTTAGCTGGTGTTCTTGAAGCTCCTCATCCTCTCTGTGAAATTGCCTTTATGTCGCTAAGTTTACTGAAGCCATTACAGGCCTTTTCCTCTCATCTAAGGGGCATATTTTTTCACCTCAGGTTGAGAAGGGAATGTGAGCTTGCTCTGTAGACCACGTATGGCCCATGGTTGCATGGCCACCCTGCAGCCGTGGTCTCCCCTGGCTTTCCATACTGTTCTCAGGAAAATGACTGCCCATGATCATGTATTTGCAAGTGTCTGCTCTTTGCAGATGCTGTACTACGTGAAGGATATCCCCGCCACCATCCGGTATTTCCACCAGCTCCTGGAGAAGCAGGCGAAGCTCCTCATCATCCTGGTGTCAGGTAAGGCCATGTGTTCCACTCAGTCTGGTGATTTTGGGGATTCCCGTAAGCACATGTCATTTTAACACAGGCCAGCTATAAGCAGGCATTAATTTTTATCTAAAATAGCCCAAGTTACTCATTGTAGAAGGAAGTTGTGTGAACTGACTGGGCAAAAGTGGTGTCTCTTCATGTAAGCCTCTTTAAATGTGCGGAGCGGCCTCCTCCCGCTATGGTGCTTGCAGGAAGTCCCTTCGCCTGTGCTAAAGCTCGATCGTCTGAACGAGCCTTTCCAGAGTCTTTCCTTTTAGATGAGCTTTCGTCTGAAAGCCTTTCCAGAGCTGGCTCTGCATTATGCAGCTCCCAGCACCTCACGGTATTGAACAAATGGCTTTGCTGGGGCTCAGTCGTGCCATGCAGCAAGCGTTGCCGTGCATATGGCTCCTTTCAAACTGCCCGTTTCCTTACTAGCAGCTTTTTATGTGGAAAACCCCACTCTTAGGCTGTTTCAGAGCCACACGGTCAGTGCAGCAGACTGGTATGGGAGCAGGAAAAACTGGGGCCTTAAACACCCTGGGCAAGATTTGTAAAAAGATACTGCAGTAGCAGGGCCTAATGGGACTAATGTGCAAAGCCTTTAAGTTCCCTCCCTTAAGCCCTTGGATTTTAGCAGACAGCCACAGCTGAAAATTTTTCCAGGGATGGTAAGTGTTATTTGTTCAGAGGTTTATGCTTAGTTTATATTGAAATTGGGCACATATATAAAACTATAAAGTATTTGATGAAGTTTGTGTTTTGTCTGCAGAGAAGCAACATCTCTCCAAGCTGAATTTATACCAAGTACTTTTTTCTAAAATGTCTGAACATGTTTGCAGTCAGTTCACTACAAGAAATCTATTTTTTAAATGATTTGAATTACAGTTCTTGCTCTCCAGCTGCAGGAACATAGTCCCTAGTGTCAGGTGCTGCCGATAGCCCAAGTACACAGATAATGGAAGCTCCACCATTTGGTTATTTTGGATATCCATTAAATTTGAATACAGAAAGGGACACACATCAAAAAGGGACAGACAAGCCGAACAAAGCTCATTAAAAAAAAAAAAAAGAAAAAGGTAAAAGTCATTGCCAAGACAAACACATTAGGATGTGTTAATGAAAAAGTAGTTAATCTGGCAACAGGATTAATAGCAGAGCACTTGGTCAGTCAGAGCCAGCTGCAATTCCTCTGGTTCCATACCTGGATGATGCAGGAATGATGCAAGAATGACCTGGTGATTTTTCCAACACATAAAAAAAATCTGTTTACATTGTCTTGAAAACAAAAGCAGTGCCATATGCTGAGCCTATCGAGAGCTGTTATAATAGCGCTTCGTTCAGGTAGTCCGTAATGGCTGGGCTCAGGAAAGGCACTGAGTCACACAACACTGACACCAGCGCATCTCTTGCAATGAGCGCTCAGCATTTGGTTTCCACCTGGCAAAAGGCAACGTGGAGGTCCTTCTCCTAAGCACCAAGCTGTTTATTTGCCTATAAAAAACTGCTTGCAGATGAACCATTTGCAGAACTGCTGAGCAACTGTTTTTGGCAGTTAGGGAAATTTATAGTCATAACCCCCAAGAACTGCTCATTGGGTTTGAAACTGTTTTCATCCTGCCTGGTCATTTTGGGCCATCCTTTTAGAAGTGGTTTAGAACAACAATGTTGAATCAGAGCCCCATGTTGTGAGGCAGCCGTGTGTGACCGCCCTTGGCATCATCCAACACAGGCAGTCCGTGCACATGGTGAGTGGGACTACCTGGGATGACTGAGGAAAGCTCTTCATCTTCCTCCCATCTCATGGCCCAGAGTTGCAGGTAGCAGAAAGGCAATGAGTACCTCAGTGAAGCCAACATGCCGATTGACCATCAGGTATCTAGATGGAAGAGGAAGAGAGGATTTGGTCTTCCAAATTGGCAGCCGAAGCCTAGAGAAACAACCTAAATGCAGGAGATACCACTGAGTAGGTAGTCAGTAACTATGGATGGGTATCCTCCAGCAGTGCATGGAGAAGATGTGGATTGTGTTGGGATTGGACAGGATGAGGAACGAATGCAATGACCTACCCTGGCCTCTGCAGGGGCTGGTGACACTCCAGGAGAAGGAAGTGTGTCCTTCTGCTCCATCACACTCAACCTTGGGCTGGAAAGGCAGGTCTTTGCCCCCTTCTCCATGACGTGTGTCCCACCTCTGGGGAGATTCAGTCCCTAGCAAGGACTGCAGCCGCTTAAGAAACAGATAACTGGCAATGTGTTCAAAGAGGCTTTTTTCCTTATTCCTGAGCATTTTCCTTATCATTTCTTCATCAGGAAACAGCGGCTGGGAAACGTTGTGGAAGAAATATGGGTCTCAACTCCCTCTAACTGATCTTTGCTGTCACGCTACCTCTGCTGACATCAAAGCGATCCTCGACTCTGCAGGGCTGAAGTACCAGCAATACGAGCTCCCGTCCCACATGGACATAACCAGCTGTTTCACAGAGGGGAGCATGGATGGGGAGCTGTTGTTGGATTTTTTGACAGAAACATATGAGTTTTCCAAAACTGCCCCGCCTGAACTGAAACAGCAAATAATAGAAGAATTAAGAAAGCCCGAATGCAGCCAAGAAAGAGATGGAAAGGTGCTTTTTAACAACAATCTGAGTGCGATAGTGATAGAGCCATGAATTTAATTTTAGAGCCATGAATTTAATTTTATCTCTTTTCTTCATCCGAAAGCTAAGTCAGGCACAAACTGCTTGCAGAAATCAGAAATTTTCTTGCCTTATCAATGGTCTAGTTTACTTCAGGGTTGGTAAATACCTTTGGAGGTACATCTTCCTTTTTGATTAAGAAATCAGTATTAATGTCTGCTGTTTTAAGTGAGCTTTAATACATTATTAATTCTGCACTTATCTGTGCATGCAGAATTTAGGAAACAGTAAATC